TTTTTTTTTTTGTTTTTTTTTGAAATGTTTTCCAAAATTTTTTTTACTTCTTCATTTTTCTTTATTTTTTTTTTTCCAAAATAAAAAAAAAAAAAAAAAAAAAAAATCTTATTTCTGTCGGTAAACTATATTCAGCATTGTATACCGTTTTGTTTAAATGAAACATTAAGTATACAGTTTTGTTAAAATGTATTTTAAAAAGTATACAGTTTTGTTTTAAAAAAATAAATAAGTAGACAGTTTTGTTGAAATTAATCAATTTGTAAAAAGTTTTGTTGAAATTAATCAATATGTAAACAGTTTTGTTGAAATTAATCAATATGTAAACAGTTTTGTTGAAATTAATCAATATGTAAACAGTTTTGTTGAAATTAATATAAAAAAAACAAGTATTAAGTTTCGTTAAAATTAGTCAACTTTTTAAAAATAATTTATTATATTATAATATGTTTATTGTTTGGTGGTGTTTTTGTTTGTTTTTTTTTGTTGGTTTTTTTTTTTGTTTTTTGCTTTGTAAAGAAAAATGGCATTTTTTTATCAATTTATTTCCATTTAGAATGTTTCACATTTTTCTTTTAAAAATCCACGTGATCTATTTTAAAAGCACAGAGACAACTCATTTAAGACATCTTTTGTTTTGGACAAAGGTATATACGGAATTTATATACAGAATCTGTGGGAGGTTTGCTAGACACAGCTTGATCTTCATTGACATTTCAAGTATTTCAAATCTATACATTTTTTCAGAAGTTAACTAGTCCCGGTACTTCTGACGCTCACAACTTTGTGTTGGACGTGTTGAATTTCCCATCAACGCCCGTGTTGTATCCATAATTATCGTACTCAAATCCATTGGATATGCTGTTGATGGATGGTTTATCGTAGTTCATGATTGGGTTGTGATCGTTTGTCCCGTTATCAGAAATCTCGTCTTTGGCATCGCCCTTTTCAGCGTCACCCAACTTCCGCCGTTCAATCCAGCTGGGTTTTGGCGCCATAATCTAGAACAAAATTGTCGTCTGCATTATTCTATTTCTCATTACAAAAAAATTAATAAATTAGTAGACAGTAATATCATGAATGTATTAATATAAATCAACGTTCATTCATTAGTTCCAGTCTACTGGAGTACGTAGAAATTGTTTAGTAAATACGGGGAAATCTTGGGAAAGCGTAAGATCGAGATGAGGGGAAGGTCAAAGTTCAACGGTTTGGGGTGGTACAGACTATGAGAGATGAATAGTGGCGTGAGATTTTTGCTTGGCACAGATTGTAAGTACGTTACAATCGTGGCAGATTCGGGATTGGGAACTGGGTCTACAGGCCTGTCTAGTGATAAGGGTTTAGATAGACTTAAGGGTCGAGGGGTGTCAGCGTGATATGGGTTAGTACTTTGGTAGAAGAGGAAAGCAGGATGAAGGCCAGGGAGGGTGAGGGTTTGAGAGGATGTAGGCCAGGGAGGGTGAGGGTTTGAGATGATGGAGGCCAGGGAGGGTGAGGGTTTGAGATGATGGAGGCCAGGGAGGGTGAGGGTTTGAGAACATGGAGGTCAGGGAGGGTGAGGGTTTGAGAAGATGGAGGCCAGGGAGGGTGAGGGTTTGAGAGGATGTAGGGCAGGGAGGGTGAGGGGTTGAGATGATGGAGGCCAGGGAGGGTGAGGGTTTGAGATGATGGAGGCCAGGGAGGGTGAGGGTTTGAGAACATGGAGGCCAGGGAGGGTGAGGGTTTGAGAAGATGGAGGCCAGGGAGGGTGAGGGTTTGAGATTATTGATTTAATCGATGAGCATTTTCTTTCTCATTAAAATTTTAATTTTAAACATCTTCCAGCACATCAAAAAAAAAAAAAAATCACGTACGATATCAGTTGTGAACTTTCAGATACGATAACTTCCTTTTTTAAAAAGTCTGTACTGCGCGGATCAAAAAATATTAGTGTAAAAAAAAACATAGCCTAAAGTGTATATGACACAACTACAACATATTTTTTTAATTTTAAGTTGTAACCAATGTAAACTGAATACTAACATCCCATAGTCCATTTTTCAGAGCATTGTAGAAGTACATGAGGGGAATCCACATCATGGTAAAGATGACCATCAGGTAGTAGAGGAGACCCACCCATCCCACCTTGAAGTCTTCCATCTGGTAGGCTTTGAACACAATGACAGTCTGCAGAATGAGAACGTAGACATGGTATAGAATTGTGAGAATACGCCAAACTAGAGATAGGTATGCATACTTCCAGCAGTGGCGTACGGAGATGTTTTCTAGGGAATGGGGGGGGGGGGTCCACCCGGGGCGGAAATTTTAGTTGATATGGTTGGGGCGGCATTTTAGGGTAACTGCTGATTTTTTATTATTATTTTTTTTTTTTTGCGTAGACAGGGTGCGATAAAAAGCTTTGCCAGCCCGAGGCCGCACAATGGCTGCGGCAGTGCGTGAACTTCCCATCTACTAAAGTTACTGGACATAACATGCATCCAAGTAAAGCATTTTTTTCGAATCCAAAGTATAGCTAAATTCTAGGAATTGTATTTTGCGCACCTATTGAACACAGCGTTACTACCATACATAGCTAGAAAAAGTATTGTTTTTGATACCAGCGAAATTAATATCCAGACAATCGCCTTATAACTAACAGTTTTTCGAACGATATCTCAAACTGTTTTCAACCAATTTTAAGAAATTGTAGAACACTGTATGGGGAAGCTTGAATCAAAAGACGGGAACGTTTCCGCTAAAAGCCTACCTCATGGGACAGGACAAATCAAAAATACGACAAGACATCATGTATTATTCATATCGTTCGTCCTGTCCTGTCTCTTCAAGCTTCCACACACCTTGTTCTACTATATACTTCACACGGCTTCAACGCACTCATTCTTTTATCAACCAATCTCCCCCCCCCCCCAACTTATTTTGCCAATTGACTAGCAAATCTCTGCCGAATAGAGATGTTGACCGCTATTCATTATCGCCATCACCATTCTCCTAGCATTCATTCACTCGGGCCTTTGTTTTGAAGGAAAATGTGTACTTTCGCACCTCATAGATATCAGAAAAGTATACACACAAATAACTGTGCTGAACTTGTCGGCACATTTCGAATGGTGGCCTACTCTCCACTCCCAGAATTAAAAAGTACAATTAAAAAATAAGCTGCTCTTCTGTACAATGGTGAGACTTTCTATAAGAGCTTAGTAACTAATCGTTTGTACACACTGTGCAGACAATTCAGATATTTCAGCCAATGGGAAGACTTTTTAGGCATGTAGAAACTATCTCGAGAAAACCATACTTTCTAAGCGGGTTTGGTTTTCCTTAATGGGTTTTTATGACGGTCCATCGTGTCTTGCCTACGCTGCATTGTCAATAAACTATGCCATCAAGTGCACTCCCATTAATAAGCAACAGTTGTGTTTATGCTCATCACTTTGAGATGTGTTAAGTTGTATGTCAAGGACGCTACTTGTTAGATACAATGTAAGCAATTATTTTAGCGCCATCCTGTCTGACGCCAGTAAGTATGCAGTAATGTGTTATCTCATTTAGCAATCAGTGTGCAATGCAGTTTGGAACTACAGGAATGGGATTAAACCTTTTAAACATTTTAAAGTTACACCATGGGGATTTTGGTGGGATGGGTGGTGCAATTATTTCAACATTGTGAAACTATATGTATGGTTTCAAACCTTTCAATATTGTGAAACTATATGTATGGTTTCAAACCTTTCAACATTGTGAAACTATATGTATGGTTTCAAACCTTTCAACATTGTGAAACTATATGTATGGTTTCAAACCTTTCAACATTGTGAAACTATATGTATGGTTTCAAACCTTTCAAAATTGTAAAAATTTTGTATGGTTTCAAACTTTTCAAAATTGTAAAAATGTATGTATGGTTTCAAACCTTTCAAAATTGTGAAAGTAACCATGTGTAAAAAAAAAGGGGGGGGGGGGTCATGCAAACCATTTAACATTGTGAAACTTCGTAAGGGGGCAGGGAGGGCAAAGTTTTCAAAATTGTGAGGTTTTTTTTTCAGCATTTTAGCGTAACATGTAAATCTTCACATGATGGCGTGCCATGTCACGGTCAAAATTTAGCAGTCAAACATTTATGTGAAAACAAGGACTTTCTTCCCCTTACCAGCAACAAGAAAGGGGAAATAACCACCCACGTTGCTTTAAAGTAGATGAAAGGGTTACGTCCCAGCATCGCGTGGACATCAGCAGCAAATCTATTATAGCCTGAAAAGACAGAAGAGAAACTCATAGAAGAATGATATTTCAATTCTATTTCAAATACACATACACATATTTATTTCACACACAACAGGCACACATTTATAAATATATATAATAATCCATAACGTAGCTACACATTGAATACTCTCTTGCCCACCGTAGAGATGAATGATGACGATGTACTCGAACAATCCAATCAGCAAGAGAGGGAACCCAAGAACCGCCTCATCCACAAGATTGAGAAGATGGGAGCCGCCCTCTGTCACCATGGGGATCCCGAGCACGAAGCCGGCCAGGCAGACGAACACGCGGAACAAAGTCTGCCTCTTCCGGGTACGGAACAGGCCGGGGAACTCGTCTATGATGGACGTCATGATCGTTTCGGCAGCGGAGAACTTTGGAAAAAACAACAACTTATAATTCAATGTTAGATAATTAAATTGAATCTTCGAATGGCTTCTTGAACAGAGGGTTGGAACATGTCGTCTTTTAAAAAAAGAAAGACGACATTAAAATTCCATCGCTGAGTTGCCCTTGCAACCAGTAGTAGCCTTGCAACCAGTGGTAGCCCTGGCAACCAGTTGTAACCTTGCAACCAGTGGTAGCCCTTGCAACCAGTTGTAACCTTGCA